CAATGTCTAATAAATGAGTTGCTAGGTAACAACAGATTATCCTAAAACACGAAATTTTACGTTCCTCCTAAAAATGATTTGCCTGTTTCCTTTTCTTCAATGAAGGGTATCGTAGTTTATTTTTAGACAGCTCAAATTGGGCACGCGTCCCGAACTTTGAATGGAGTATTATAATTCGGGCTGTTCATCTAGCCCTTAATAGGGACTCATGTCCCCGTAGTGTGGCACGAGGGATGAGGGACAATACCCCCGTCCATACCCCTCAGTAACCCCGGCACGCGACACCGAACAACAGGGTATCCTAAACACCAGACGCCGGGTGGATATAACTTTACAACGGGTGGGTCACAAAAGCCAGGAAATTCACGGTTAAAGTGCACGCATAGAATAAAGTACGGGGGATGTTCCAATATTTGTTAAGGCCTCTGGTTACTTTGTTATCATATGCCCTTTGAAGTTTCTTCTGGGATATAGTGAGAGATACTGTTGAGATACTGTTTATCAGATATATGTTTTGTTTGCCGATAGATGTAGTTTTATTATATACCATATACTTTTATTATGAGTAGATCTATTGGATGTTTGTACCTTTTATAATATATTCATTTGAAAATAATAAATGGATGAAAATCTGTATATTTGTATAAATATATCAGTTGGATGTGCTTTTATTATCGCATCTTTGTTTTCAAGTCTCATTTGTGTCGTTTGAAATATGTAAACTGAGATTTCTGAAATATGCTGATTCTCGCGAATCATGTTTCCATGAATTTAACTCTAAATTAACTCTAATTCTGGAATGGTGTTGTAGACTTTTAAAATATATTTGTTTTACAAAATAGAACTACAAATTCGTGATATTCCGGCATTTAATGCCAACAGCAAAATTGCTGAATCGGCTGTCCTGTTGCCAAGTAACTGAGGCGGACGCGGGGCTAGTGGTTTAACACCCCCTTCAGCTTAGTTAAACTAGCCATAACGATTAATTTATGAACAAATAATAGCAGGTCGTATAGGGAGGGTTTCACCTGTCTCGCGAGGGAGGGGCAGGCTTTGAGGGTAGCGACTCACCTGAGCGTACACCTGCCCGTACGCCGCGCTAATATGGCACTGTACAAGGCTGGCATGCGCCCGGCTCTGTCACACTCGTTCAACACTCGCTTCCAACCCGATACCCGACACTGAACGCGCGCGCGGGGAACAGGTGAAATGGGGAAAACTAACGCCGGGGGAGTGACGGGGGTGGGGGAGGGAGAAAATAACACAGTACAGATTCATAGCTCCGAGACATTTGAATTTTATTTTGTTTTGGTTTCTATGAACCAACAATACCTGACAAATGCTAAGGCAAGGCGGTGAGGTTTGTATGGTAAGGACATCTGTGGTAAAGGTACAAGTATTTAGGAGATTGGGAGAACGCTAAGCTCCTTATTCTGATCAAAGGTAGCGCGTGAGGTGAGATTTTTGGAAATTTGTAATAAACTCGCGTCATACTCTGTAATTAAACCTGTTATGTATGCTGCAATTATGATAAAATATTCGTCCTGACAATACCGGGTTTCAGTCATTGAAGGAGTGTTTGTGCTTTTCCACCTGCTGGGGTCTGTGGTTCTGCCATGAAGTAGTGACTCGTTGTTATTGAATACATCTGTGTTTTTCTAAATCATGCCTGTCACCAATAATGTTTATTTTAGAAATATTTAATCAAAGTTTAAGTGGAATGCTGAAAACATTTTTTTATTAACTTTGGAGCAGTGCGCACTAAAGACCAGTTAAAGACCTTAATCGGCATATTGTTCCTAAAAATGGTAACCCTCTCCCCCCCCTGCCCAAATGAAATTGTTATTGTTCCTAGAAATCTTAGACATATGCAAGATCATTACGTTAGATATATTTCAAACATATGCAATAATTATATTCCGGTGTTATTTGAGATAGATATATAATTCTATGTCTGAGAGATGTGAGACATGCAATAATTATATACGTGTTATATATATGTACATACATGTATGACGATTATATGTCTGAGAGATTAGAGATATGACCCATTAGGGTGTTTCAGTTTCTAGCTTGTTCCTCGGCTTGGTGTTTTACAGGAACATTAGGGTGTTTCAGTGTCTAGCTTGTTCCTCGGCTTGGTGTTCTACAAGAACATGAGTTGTCAAGCAAATATCATACCAGTTATGACTAATAACGTGGTGGTTACTTGGGCAAATGTGAAACTGAAACGCCTTCCTGCCTTTTGTATCAACGATTCGTAACTGATTGTAAAAAAGGTGGAGATAAAACTCATGTTCATATTGTTTAATAGTTTTGCATACTACGTTAGTACCTGTAGTATCAAATCATTCCAAATCTGAATGTTTCTTGTTTTTGTTGTATATTTAATATATTTCGATATTTAAATATAACTTGTCCGATCCAGGGCCTAGATTTTCGAAGCTCTCTTAGCGCTCAGATAGTCGTAAGTGCCATACATTAACGTTAACTTACGACTATCTTAGCGCTAAGAGAGCTTCGAAGATCTAGGCCCAGGGTTAGAGCAATATGTTTCTTATGATGGCCTACTGTTATATCTGCTCGGAAGACTCGTTACTTACTGGGTCAGCTTCCACAAAGCGATTTCAGTGCTAAAGCGGTCGTAAAGGTGTGTTAAGAAATGGGAATTACGGCACCCTGAGTTCTATGGTCGCTTTCGGGAGTGGAATCCAGGTCAATACGATCTTCATGCAATGAAAATAGTTTTACCATTGGCTTTTTCAAAACTCCGGTCATAATTTGCATCCGAATAAAGAACCAGTTTGTTACATGGGGCATTAATGCGTCTCTCGCGATCCTCCTCGAGTGTTACTGTGTATACGTGAAACAGTGCTGATATGGTTATATCTTTTCCAAATCTGTTTCAACGTAGTCTTAATGCTACGGTTGTTGTATCTATCTCTTTAACAGAAACATATATAACTGATGGGTAAAAGAAAGTTTTCACTTGAAAAAAAATCATTTGACCCAAAAGTTACAAACTTTATCAACACTATGATAACACCTTTTCAAACGTACGGTCCAACACACAACTATGATAACACCTTTTCAAACGTACGGTCCAACACACAACTATGATAACACCTATTCAAACGTACGGTCCAACACACAACTATGATAACACCTATTCAAACGTACGGTCCAACACACAACTATGATAATACCTATTCAAACGTACGGTCCAACACACAACTATGATAACACCTATTCAAACGTACGGCCCAACACACAACTATGTTAACACATATTCAAACGTACGGTCCAACACACAACTATGATGCTCGTATCGAAAACTCCGCCGTCGTCTTGTTTTATTATCGGCCACCATCAAATATTTGTGTATACTGTTTTCCCAGGCAATTTAGCACTAGTACTATGGTCGTTAAGTGAGTGAGTTAGGTTTTAGCATCATTCCAGCAATATCACGGCCTGGGACACCGGAAATGGGCTTCACACATTGTACTCATGTGGGGAATCGAACCGGGGCCTTCGGCGTGACGAGCGAACGCTTTAACCACTAGGTTACCCCACCGTATGATCGTTAAGTGGGACGAGACATTTGATCTAGGAATCACAGGACAGGTATTTGGGAACAGACTGATGTTACTAGAAGAGCGGATTCCTGACAGAACCGATTTGCAGTGATGCCCTCCCTCCATCCCCCTTTCGCTGTTGTCCCAGATACCTCTAAAGGGGAATGGTTGGCTGCTCGTGTACTTTCTTCTTTAAGGGAATTTAGAAGCTGGTATGATGAACGGGAACATTGTTTATGGATAGACAACTTTTCTATTCCAACAGATGTGACGTTTCGGCAAGTGCTTGATAACGGTGTTAGCATTAAAGCCGAAACGTCGCATCTTTTGGAATAAAGACGTTGTCTTTCCATAAACAATGTCCCTCCTCAAGTCCTAGCGTTTCATGCATGACCAACTCGTTTTATTCAGGGACAAGCCGAATAGCTACTTGTATTTTACGAAGAGGGCGAGTGTTGACGAATGCTGGTGACGGTGTGGTCGTTCCCTAACGAATCGGTAATCATTATTTCAACCTCTGGTTGACCAACTCCGTAATTTAAAAGCTGGGTAACCTAAACTATAAAATTGCTTAAAACCATTCATTCGTTGAAACTTTACTCGGAGTATAAATTTCACTGACAAAACTAAATTTCCACATAAAACCAGAAGCCGAAATACGTTCTGTAAATCGTGGCTCATTTAGAAATCTACATGATCGATGGCATTACACAAAAATAGTTTGCCGAAAACAGATATACCACATGTGAACTTGCACACCAGCAGTGAAGTGATACTGCCTGATTCCATCAACCAGAATGAAATAAAGAAGTGAGTTATAGAAGTAGAACCAGGCACTGCCTTGCACTGTGAACTTAGAACTGTACACCATGGAGTGTGTCTGTGTCATGAGGGTGCTCCTGTCAATGATTAATGTCAACTTATGACATATAATGACATAGGATGTAAATACGAGTTTGATAGATCGCTCATCTCCCTTGGTTGAAACTAAGGGTGAGTGAGTGTAGTTTTACGCCGCTTTTAGCAATATTCCAGCAATATCGCAGCGAGGGACACCAAAACTGGGCTACACATATCTGGGAAATGAACCCGGATATTCGGTGTGACAAGCCAACGCTTTAATCACTAGGCTACCACGTCGCCCCTGAAACTTAAGGATTTCGTGTAGCATTATACTGCTGGGCAAAGCGAAAGATTCACTCGTGTCTAATAGTAGAAAAAATGGTTATTGGATGGTAACAAATTTATAGTTGCAGTGTTCGTTACATTTTTATAATTTTCGTAATTTTCTTGGTCGACTCGAGTGTTTACTTTCCATGCCCGGCAGTGTATTTAATTATTTCTGGTAACCTTAAAGAAAAGCAGATTATCTTATCAGAAACGTTTGTGCAAAAATACGAAATAAAAAAAGACAATATTTAGGCATCAATATTTTAATAATACTTATAATGTCAGTGGTAACCGTACCAACATCAGGAAACATGTGAATTGAGAACTCTTTGGCACATGACAATTTCACAAGCAATAAAATCTTCACTATAAAGAACCAGCCGCGGACAGTGTCGGAATGTAGGCGGTCAATGTCGTCGCGGCTGACCGCTCGTGCAACTGTGTCCACTGACCGTGACGCCCCCGTGACATGATTTGGCCCCTCCGATAATACGTGTAACATATGGGGTACAAATTGAAAAATACTAAAATGCTGCATTTATTACAATTATTGCCATGGTTACTACGTTGTAAATAAGAATATTGATGTAAAATGGTTGTATGATAAAATGTAAATCTTTTGGTAAAAATAAAGAGTATTGTATCCAATGCTGTAGTCAATGCGCCGATAAACTGAGTGAATGGTGTAAGAATACTATGATATCTTATACTGATAGTCGAATACTCTATCAGGGCTCATATCTTGAACAATAACGCCCCTATCGGGTATATTAATAAATACGTAGCGATGACTGGTAAACTTTCATGACCTGAGATCGGCTTCGAGACAGACTTGGTCTGCGAGACTACAGGAATAAATAATATGGTAAATGCAATAAATGTAATACTTTAGTTGACAAGAACGCGACGCTGTCAGTTGATAAATAAACATTATACTGACCAAATAAATAAACATCTGTTATCTACAACAATATGGTTGCATGTTGTACATGCACAGCACTAACAGAACAACAGAGTCACTTTCTCATCTTTGTGTCATTGTAACAAGTGTCACTGAACGCATGAATCCATGACGTTGCTGCACAAAATGATGACGTCATAGTATGAACGATGACGCCATAGCACAAAATGATGACGTTATTGAACCATGGGCCCACAACAGCCGTCCTCGTGTTTCAACAGCAAGGACATACGTGAGAATGTCTTAGAGCAGGATCTGCAGCTGTATTTCTTGACATCGGAGTGGGTCTGGAGATGTGCCCTAAGGTTGGATCGGTCTGCGAACGCCCGACCACAGTGGGGGCAGGAGAACGGTTTCTCCCCGGTGTGGGTCCTGATGTGCCCCTGGAGCAGCCAGGGTCGGGAGAAGGCCTTGCCGCACAGTTTACACTTGCAGGGCAGGGTGTGAGTCCGGATATGCATCTTCAGGGCACCAAGCGACACATACGTCTTGTCACAGTATTTGCAGTTAAATTCTTTCTTGATCTGCGAAGTACAGTGGAATTGTTTATGTTTGGATAGTCCGCTGAAAGTGGAATAACTTTTCTTGCAAGCATCACACTGGTACCTCACGGGTTCGTTCTCTTTGCTTTTCTTCTTGTCCGAGAGGGATAAGTCCATATCTGAGGGCACACTTTGGGCTTTTAACCCGGGATAATTCAACACATTGTCAAAAGGGGCTTTAGAGAGCCGTGCACCCAAATCCATCCCCTCCATAACCCGGTCGTCAAAAACCAATTTCCCCGTGTCGGCGGCAGGTGGGGAGAAATTGAGGGGATAGCGTAGTCCGTGGAGGTACGGCGGAGGGGGAAGCAGGTGGTGGGTGCCTTTGAACGCTGAGGGGACGTCCGGGTAGTGCCGGTAGGGGAAAGGGGACTCTGCCAGCGGTCGGACAACGGGGGGTGCAGGAAGGCCATTCATGAACCGCAAGTTGAAAGGCAGTAATGACGGGTGGTGGTGCAGGCTCCCGAACATAGGGCTGTGCCATGGGAATACTTCTGGGAGACGAGGTGGTTCCGGGGGGGAACTGCTTGGGGTCCCGATGGGTGAGGTACTGCTGACGCTACGGTCACTGTCTCCGATCCCTGGGGAGAGACTTGACCCACGCATGGGTTTGTCGAAAATCAACGGTGGGAGAGGTCGGGGATGGATGGGACTTATTTTGCCTCGTGAGGAACTGCTGTAGATATCCGGGCGCTTGAGACGTATTGAAATCTCGTCCAGTTCTGTAAGATCAGAATAAAAATATTTTGATATACTCTCAACATTTGTGCAAGTATGTTCTACATGTACGGTTATGTCATTAAGGTGCCAAAGTAAACAATGAATATTCACAATACGTCTTAGGCTATCTAAATTTCATAGAAATTTCTGAAATGTTCCAGTAAAGGAGGAATGTGTAATAAGTAGTACCTAATTGGTTATGAATACTATATACTATATTGCGCAGATCATAAAAATAAATCAAAACAACAAACATGTTACTAAAATTAAAATCAACATAAGAAATATAATTACCTTTTTCTCTTTGAAGAGATCTGTCTTGAGTGACGACTTTGTCAGAAGGCGACGCTTGATGGGGTCTCTCATCACGAGCTACCTTCTTTGTCAGGTCCATTCCTGTCTCCTCTGTCAAACACACCATCCCGGGGGGTGGGGAGGCCAGGACTGGTGTAGGAGCGGCCAGGATAGGGGTAGGGTAGGCCAGCTCCGGTGTATAAGTGATAGGTATATCCCCAGGTCGCTCCCTTTTCTTGATAAGAAATGCACGGGGCATTTTCAGAGAGAAGTTTGCACTGTATCCAAACTCGTAACAGAGGCGATAGGCACTAACTGCTTGTTGACAAGTTGAAAAAGTCGAGTCGGCTCATGAACGAGGCGGCGAGTGACAAGTGATCTCGCTGAATACAACTCTTAACTCGGAACTGAACGACACCGTATAAATACCTTGTCATAGGCTGCACGCTGTCTTTGTAAATCTCTTCCCTCGATAACACCAATCACGGAGAGGGGACAGTCAGATGGCGCTCTCAGCCAATCAGATGCTTCGGTGGTGTATAAGCCCCGCCCCTCTCCGCGTGTGCCGCGTGCGCTGGTTGAGACGGCCAACAGGTGTGGGTATGGCATTACACCAGTAATGAAACGTTTGGTGGTAAACCAGGGAAAAAACCACACTGGCAAATGCAAAAGGAATCGAAAAGCGATTGACTACCACCCAACCTCAGCAGCTCACGAGTGTTGTCAAATTTCCATCTTTTTGCTTCTTTTGTGCATGAAAGTGAGAACATTAAAGATTTTACCGGAGACGAATGAACAATTTTAGGGTTAGTTTTTCTTCAGCCCCCCGCACGCGCAACGCACCAGCGACGCTACTCGTTAGGACAAAAAAATCTGACGTTTTTGTCACATTTGATACGAATGATGTCTGTTGTTATTTAAATTTTGTTGAAGAAAAAGGGAAAGAAGTTGCACAACGACATGGGCAATAAATTTTGAATTCGTTCTCCTACCGCAAGTCAATGAGCAATATGGAAAATAAACGTTTAAATGTTTGCAAATGAGAGTTTCTTTTAAGATATTCCCGAGAGGAAACAAACCTGTTTAAAGTTGAACATTATCATTGAAATTTACTCCTTCACTCGTTAGTATGAGCAGATGCACAAACACCCTCTCGACGCTTTGCGGTCAAGTTATGCATTCACTGAAACGCATTCATTTAAACAAGAAGCGACAGGAAATACTACGAAAACATTCTTATAAACATGTTGGACGCATATTTTATTTTCTGTCTTAATGTGCAGTCATTTTCTGTGTTGATGTGCAGTCACTTCTACAAACCAGCTGAACTATCAATAATTGTTGTGATTTTATTACCGTGCTCAGTGCAGCCGTACACATGTATGCTTTGTATAATTACTCTTTTTTATTTGTGGATAATAAAGTATTATTGTTAAAAAACTGATAAATCTATAGAAACTGAACATGAAGCATAATGTCCAAAAGAAAACTGTAAATAAATTAACTTCTCTCATCCAGTATTCTGTTAGTGATTAATGATATTCGTCTTTTATATTAACTATTAATTAAATATCATTACTGTGTCGAACATAGCATCAAAATAGTTAAACAGATCTTATCACTAACCGCTTTTTATCAAATCATAGCTCTTGTTAGCAAGGGTATTACCAAGAACTAGTTAAAGATTATAATGACACATTTCATAACATGTTGTCTACGGTACAGGACACTTGTCCATGTCACCTGATTCTATCAATATATATACATGTATATATATATGAAACATACATTTTGTCTTCATACACTATATTTAATCTATTTTCGTTGCTTAAACTAAAACTTGAAAAGGTGTGAAAAGAAATATCACAAATAATATATATATACAATGTCCGATGAGAGACATGATTTATGCCCTCAGAACAGCGTCGTTATCACTTTGTCATAAATTGTAACTATGTAATGTGAATAACGAATCGCTTGCTTTTGGATCTGGTGCTATGATATTTTCTGTTTTTGAATAACAATGTAATGAATATATATGCTTTTAAAATATAACTCATTTGGACTTTGCACTTAAAATGCGTATTAATTCAGACTTGATCTCGTCACTATATGGCTGGAAAAATGCCGATGTGACGTAAAACTCAACTCAACTGTTATGACTTTAGTTTATTCGGTTTGAAAAAATATACATATTTTACATAATACGTTTATCTGGATACACGTTGATGTGTTTAAACAGATACGATGGCCTATCTTGAAATATATTGTCACATACTTGTTTATTATTATTATGTCACGTACACACAAATACTGTCAGTGTACTGACAGATACACGCTTAATTGTACCCACACGTGTGCACCGACAATATACTTGCGCACCACTACGTGTATTGCATTGCAGAAGGTGTCTACATAACATGCCTTAACATCAAACACGTGCATATGCGCGCGCGTACATCAAGGCATGTGTGTGTATCACACTGGAACAGCTATACGAGAAACAACTGCTTTCATCTCACCCTGACTTTGCGACGAAGCGTGTTAGTATATTGTCATTTAAGCACAAGGAGAATTTGCTGAAAGGATTACTGCTAACGTGGAATGTCACTTGTTCCGCGAAACGAAATAGCATGGCTGAAAATGTATGATTAAGGCATCAGCGATTGCGCGAAGAAAATTGTCCCTTTTCAACACACTGTATGAACCAGGGTTACAGTTTATGGTGTTTCGCGCCACAGTGATAGGAATTTCAGCCTGGGTTAATTCAGCGTGACCGCCCCCCACCCCTACACTTCTCCCCCGGGGGTAAGGCCTGCTCGTGTCGGTATCACTACATGCAGGATTCAGTATCACCCTGCTAATTCGAATATTATTCTTAAATTCAAAATCCAGAATACAAAAAACACTTTTCGTCCCACTTTTCGTCCCTACAAAGAACATTGAACATAAAATGAATCGTAAAACTCAGACACCACTCAAGGAAGAGACAGGCTGTTAATCTGTCTTTCTAATCGGCCCTTATACCGGCGTAAAGTATTTGTGTTGTAAACGAAGTACGTAATGTTCATTATTCACCTTTCATCTATAGCCATGGTGTGTCTACAAAGTAGTTTTGTCGCTTCTGAGAACATTAAAACCCATCTCTGATTTCAGGTCTGAGTAGAAAAACATTTAGAATTAAACGTCACGAGTCTCCGCAGCGACGTAGCCTGTGAAAGATCTTTTTCAAAATCAAAAGTGTTGCAATTTGTCATAAAGCAATTTTACGACTTACCAAAAATGAACTAATGTTATATCCTATTTAACATTTCAAAAATATGTTTGATCTTTCACTTTTATCAAGGGCAAGCCACAATGATGTCTCGCTCCCAAGGCGGTGTGATGTTTATGTTGTAATGCCAAGATAGGGAAATAACAGCACCATACGTCCTGCAATAACTTCAGTGTTATCTGGGTAAAGTTAAACATCAATATCTGCATTATAAACGAGGTCTCATGGGTAATCACTTTCGTAATGGGTAATGAAGCAGCCCAGTAGGTGAAGCATTTGCTGAAGGTCAGGGTCCGGGTTTAATTCCTTAACTCCTTAATGTTTTAATCTTATATTTTATACATTTTACGCACATATTGTCTAGTGTGTCTCATTGGCCATCTGGCCTGGTGTTTGTATATTTCTATGTTCTTTTACCACTACCTTTTTTGACATGTACATTCACGTGACGCATAAATAAACTACTTTGTCTGTCTGTCTGTCCTTATGTGAATATAGTGCATGAAACCCTTCGTTTCTCTTGAGAAGTAAATATTGAAAATCGGTGAAAAATAATAACAGTTACTTTTCTCTTAAATATTCTCGGAAACAAATTATGTTTTTTTGGAAAGGGGAAGTAGCTGTGAAAATTATATTCAATAAATTACTGAAAATCGCGGGTGTTCGCGAAAAGGGTAAGCACGTTCTGCTCTACCATACTCGCTAAGTAACCTGCTCACATTCGTTTATCTGTAGCAAGGAGATAGGCTTCGCCCAGTATGAAGAAGCGATCATTTCATTGAAGGGCTGGAGCAGTAATTATTAAGAATTACATTTTTCGCTCTCTCGTTGTTGATCACCAACAGACATAACCTATTTGCTTTTCTTACCACAAACTGCGTCATATAGAGGTCCCACAAATCTAATCTAAGTTGCGTGACAGCAGACTATTAGCATATATATTCCTATTGGCATGACTATCTATACCCATAGACTAAGGCTTAGTCTCTGAATATATGTAATTTTGATAGTTACAAACAAGCCCATTTATATTGAAAAGGAGCCCTAGGGAGACCAGAGATTCAAAGGAACCTGAGGAAATCTAGACTTGCTTTATTTAGGGCTTTAGCACAGCAGAGAGGGCTTGGCAGTAGGGAAATTAATGTGGTTCAGGGACTGTGAGACAGACTACTATACCCACTGTGGGCAATATTATATATTGTTTAACAGAACTTAGATAAAGCTTCAGCACATTTATTTTCGTTGTTTTAACACATTTAAGTTATTGTAACAAACGCTCAAATCTATTAATTTTTTTGCGTGAAGGTGAAAGCTTCTTATGAGAATAGGGGAATGATAACGTACATTTTCTGTTATTTTGTAATTACTGTCCATTCCCTTCTTGTTTTTGACGGGACATAATGACATTTATTGAAAAACGTACAGCATGATGTATAAACATCAGTAAACAGTCAGAACGTGCGTTTATAAATTGAACTTGTTTAAGACGGGCTTTTTTCCAACATCGTATAATTTGTATCGTAACTCACTATTTCATAAAAGAAATCTAACAAAGAAGGCTATTTATGTATATTGTGTTGGAGGCGGATGCTATAGGTAGGGCCGGACATGTTTGCCCATTTAGCGAACTTCTTTGATTGGCATTCTAGAAGTTGGGTAGATGAAGAATGAGGACTATTTTTATGGATATACAACTTCATTATTCTATATAGGCGACGTTTCGACATAGATTATAATGTCGTTGTCAAGCACGCAATAGTCCCCATTCTTCATTTAGCGAAAGCCTGATGTAATCACCGATTATAACTTATCTATTCCTATATTTTCCACAGCTATTTTGTTTCAAAAACCTTTAAGTACTAACTTGTTTGGGCTACCCCAAGAACTAAATCGGACATAACGGTACATTGTTCTCTGTGTTTTCTTGTGGAAATATATCAGGGTAGACAAGTGGAAACTCTTTGCTCAAAGAAAACATACTAGAAGTAAGAAAAGTTCCTGTCCTACCAATGTGTTAAAAGGGGTGACCAAGTTGTCAAATATCGCAGTATGTAATAGTCAAAATATGACTTAAGAAAATTAATGAAAAACTGATGATTTATAGAGCCTCAGACTGAGT